CTGGGGAAAATTACACCTTTTGACCTGCCCTGCCCCCTGCTTTTGGTAAAGGTAATATATTTAAGTAGAAGCAAGTTAGAAGAAAACACAAAAGATGCCTTGAAGAGAACGCGAAGCTACAAAATGGCAGCATGTATTTTAAAGGTAAATAGAGTGAAGCCAGCCTATTGGATTTGCCTTTGAGAATGAGGAGAGCTTAGAAGCTGTCTCTCCTAATACCCTCCCTAGCAAGCACAGAGCTGCGGTCCTTTCTTCAAGTCACTGCCTTCAGGGATGGTTCTCCATGGCAAATGTTCTGTGAAGGGTTATCCGTTGGGTGTGAAACTGCTGTATCACTCCCTACTTTACCCACTCAACTATCCACATCTTTGGGGGGCCCAGGAGGAAGTGTCAAAATTACCTTACAGAGCTGCAGTAGAGTGTAATGGTTAGGACTACTTACAATCTGACTTCTTGGATTTATCCTGGCCACTTACTCCTTGGGTGACCTGCAGCAAACCACCAAATCAACTCTCCATGCCTCAGTTTGCTCTTCTGTAACATGAGAATAATAGGACCTATATCAAAGAGTAGTGATGATAGTTAAATGAGATAATACATGTGTGGAAGTGACCCTTTGCTATATGCAAACTTCTAATATCTATTTTTCAGTAAGTCATAATTTCCATTCTGTAGCCTGGTTATGGTAAGTAGTTGATCAAATCCAAGGATTACTGTTTTCAGTTGGGCTCCAGGTCAAATTCTGTAGCTTGGGTAAGAAATTTCCTCATGACTCTCTCTTCCCAGCTTTCCGTCTGCACCTGCTTCTACTTTCGCTGGGCTCATGATTGCCTGTGGGCCTGCCACTAAGGGAAGGGGGTCCACTTCACACCCAGGGCTTGTCTGTGAGACCTGGAGGGCTTGTGGCAACTCCTCAGAGTGTTGGCCTTTGAGCTGGCTGCACCAGCTACCGGGCACTCTTTACTGCGTGGCACATTTAATGGTCTGAGCCCTGTCAGCAGGTGTCCCACAGAATGCAGCAACTTCTCCCACCCCATGGAGTACCTTGGCCTCATCTGGCTTCTGTGGGGCTGAAATCACAGTTGTCTACCTTCTGTAGTTCCTGGACCCATGGGGATCCTAGCCATGCCCCTCCAGGCACACAAGAAGTGTGGGTAGACACAAAGAGGCGAACCTTTCCCCTCTGGAGAGGATGTATGCTTTTTCTAGCATGCTTTGTTGGCTCTAGAGAGTAAATGCATGGGTCCTGCTGCTCTGCAAACTCCAGATGAGAAGTCAGGGCCTGTCTGAATGTGCATAAGCACCTCTCAAGCTCCAGGGGCTACATCTAGTACCACCTCACCTCCTATCCCTCTGGGGTGCAGAGATGGAGGGAAAGGAACAACGTGTAGCACTTAGGATTTTGAAATCCCAAATCCCTCTTCTTTCTCTTTCTCAATTCCTTTTATATCTTCATGGTGGCCAAATATGCCAACCCAAGTTCTATCTCATTTTTCCCCTGATGCAGACTGGCTGCCTGGTTCTGTGACAGGACTCCCTTTGTACCAGGTAGTTTGGCATTTGGAGTTTCTGTTCTCAGCTTAAATAGTAGCAGTCCAGACACCTTTGTTTTGCTCTTGGTTTGTGGGGCCAGATGGTGGTCAGGGAAACTGCAAAAGGCTTATTTCATTGATGTTTTACATGGGCTTAAATCATTAAACATTCTAAACTTGCTAAGCACACAATAACTGTAAACAATCATTAGCCATTATATTGAAATTTTAAAACATAAAACTCTAGCCTAAGATACCAACAAATTCTCAGTTCCAGGGACACCAAATATGTTAACTATGATTTCTGAAAACTGTGAGCTTCACACAGCAGTACACATGGACACTACAGAGATAGTAATATTTTTGTCTATTATATACCAGTAGCGTTGCCAAATTTAGCAAACAAAAATACAGGACATGCAGTTAAATTTAAATTTCAGGTAAACAACGAATATGTTTTAAACTATAAATATGTCCCATTCAGATAAATAATGTCTAATTTTTCCATACAAGTATGTCCTAAATATTGCATGGATGTCTTGCATTTTATCTAACATTCTTACATGCCAATCACCCACCTTCCTTTGATGAGAGTTTGAAGTAGATCCTTTTACTGTAAATGTAAAGGCACCTCTCAGTTACTACATTGCACCAAGGTTATATCTATCCAAGGCTAAGGGGCTACCTTTAAAAAAAACAAACAAAAAGGTCAGAGTTGAGTGGGAAGGAGGATGTGGCCAGTCATTTGTCCCCTCATGTAAACTCCTAAAACCAGATTGAGTACCTTTTCAATGAAAAGGGATGGAATAGGAACATGGTATCTGTGTTTCCATGTTTGGATCTGTCTCATCCCAAAGAGTGTTAATATCTTGAAGGCTCAGCATAAGCTCTGTTTACTTAGGAAGCATGAGAAACGTTAACCCTTTGAAAAACGTCTAATTAAACTGTTGGAGCTTTGATGTCAGACTTTCAGATTAGTATTACATCATTTAAAAAGATCCAATTTTGGGGTGCCTAGGCGGCTCAGTCAGTTAAACATCTGCCTTCAGCTCAAGTCATGATCCCAGGATCTTGGGATCAAACCCCACATGGGGCTCCCTGCTTAGTGGGGAGCCTGCTTCTCCCTCTCCCACAGCTGCTCCCCCTGCTTGTGCTTGCTTTCTCTCTCTCTGTCAAATAAATAAATAAAATCTTAAAGAAAAAGATCCAATTTCATGTGCCACTAGAGAGGGAGAAATATGCTGGTCTTCATAGACAGTTATTGAATTTAGGAAATATTTTAAAATACAAATCATTACCACTTGATAAGCTGTATTTAGTGCAAAAATCTCAATTTAGAAAGTGTGCTCTTAGAGAATTGCTATCTCCCAGACTTTTCTGTTAAGTGACCATCACTAGTATTGGTTTCTAGTATAAATCGATGTTTGTATGTTACCCTGGAAGCTGCTGAATCTTCAAGAGATGATGGAATTGGTTTCAAATAGAAAGTATTTTATGAGACTTCAATGGAGAGAACCAACATATACTTTGAGTGTCTTTTATATGCTGTGGACTTCACATATATCTCCAATCTAACCAGTAAGTTAATGAGAGAGGGTGATGAGGTAAGTAATTTTGCCAGCCTCATAAGATTGTCTGATTCTGAGAGCACTGTATCTAATATAACTCCCTTCTGAATTTTCCTTATAGCCCTCACCTGCAGTTATTTTGTTCTTCAGAAGGAGACTGGGCAAAAAATCTCCCACTCATTAAATTCACGTCTAACTCTGGTAATATGAGTGGTGATTTCTTACATGGTGAACACTTTTACTTCTCTTGATGGAGTTACAAGTTCTTCCCGGTTACTATTTTCAAAAGACATTATACATGAAGTTTATGTGTACTTATTTGTGGTTACCTATCTAACAGCACATGCATTGTGTGTTTAATTCTATAGTTAAAATTTACCCCAAAATTAAAAGAAAACTAACTCAAAGGATACATGCATCCCTCTTTATTGCATGCAGTCTTATTTTCAATAGCTAAATTATGGAAGCAACCCCAGTGTCCACTGATAGATGAATGGATAAAGACAGTGTGGTATACATATACAATGAAATATTATTCAGCCATAACAAAGAATATCCTGCCATTTGCAACAACATGGATGGAGCTAGAGAGTATAATGCTAAGTGAAATAAGTTGGTCGGAGAAAGACAAATACCATATGATTTTACTCACATGTGGAATTTAAGAAACAAAACAAATGAGCAAAGGGAAGAAAAAGAGAGAGAGAGAGAGAAATCAGGAAACAGCCTCTTAACTATAGAGAACAAACTGATGTTTGCCAGAGGAGAGATGGGTGGGGGATGGGTGAAACAGGTGACAGGGGTAAGGAGTGCACTTGTCATGATGGGCGCTGGGTGATGTACAGAAGTGTTGAATCACTGTGTTGTACGCTTGAAACTAACAGAACATTGTATGTTAACAATACTGGAATTAAAGAACTTAATAAAAAAACTTCTGGAAATATGCACAGAAAACTATTAACAATACTTAGTTCTGAGGCAACAAATTAAAGTCTGAATGGGAGAAACACTTACTTTACACTGAAATTGTTTATGATATTTCAAAAGGTAAGAAGAGCCCGTATGTAGGTTGGAATAATGATAAGAGAAAAACGAATACTAACAGTAAAAAAACAATTTTAAAGAATACTGAATTTTGAAGAGTCCAATCTCCCATCCTGTGATAGTATTACATGGACAACATTCTTACTTCTGTTTGGATACGTTAGTGGTGTGAAGTTCGTCAGTTTTCAAGCCTGTTTATTCAATGAATAGATAGCAGTTTGAAATGAAGTATATATTTAGCTGGTATTTGCCTCTTGGGAACTTTTACTTACAGATCCTAGTTCTGGTCTCTGCAGCCACCTAAATAAATGTAATCCCTCCCCCACCCAACACAGGGGCTATGTTAGTAAACCGCCTAACGTTTTGGTACTTTTACAGCCTGGAACTCATAATTTGACCCCTAAGCAGAAGATGTTATTAAAAATGGTATTGAATATATTCGTATATAAAAGGAAAACATACAAAAATAATGATGTATTCCAAGGAAATTTACTGTATTTCCTTACACATAACATGCATACACACACATATAATATACTAACATAGATGTTTACATATTTCCTATTAAACAAGAACATAAACTAGAAAGCAAGTACCTCTCTTCAGTTGTCTTTCCATTACATCCCCCTTCCCTATGCAAGCGAGTGGGACAACATGAGCTAAGTCAGTGCTCCTATGGTGAGTTTTCAGTATATTGCATCTGTTAAATGGCATTGGGGTGTTTTTTCCCCTTCCTAAGTGATCTTACCCTGCGAGGGTTTCCTCAGTAAAACAAAGTGTATCCAGCACCCTGTCACACAATTGTAAGTCCATCTATGTTTATAATCATGTTCTGAATGTCTCTCCCCCTCCACAGATCATTTTCCGAAAAATCAGTGACGTGAAGAAAGAGGAAGAGGAGCGCCTCAGGCAGAAGAACGAGGTCACCCTCAGCATCCCCGTGGACCACCCCGTTCGAAAGCTCTTCCAGAAGTTCAAGCAGCAGAAGGAGCTGCGGAATCAGGGGTCCACCCAGAGTGACCCCGAGCGGAACCAGCTCCAGGTAGAGAGCCGCCCCTTACAGAACGGAGCCTCCATCACGGGCACCAGTGTGGTCACCGTGTCACAGATCACGCCCATCCAGACGTCTCTGGCCTACGTGAAAACCAGCGAGTCCCTCAAGCAAAACAACCGCGATGCCATGGAACTCAAGCCCAATGGCGGTGCTGACCCCAAATGTCTCAAAGTCAACAGCCCGATCAGGATGAAGAACGGAAATGGGAGGGGATGGCTGCGACTCAAGAATAACACAGGGGCGCACGAGGAGAAAAAGGAAGACTGGAATAACGTCACGAAAGCCGAGTCGATGGGGCTATTGTCAGAGGACCCCAAGGGCAGCGATTCCGAGAACAGCGTTACTAAAAACCCATTACGGAAAACGGATTCTTGTGACAGTGGGATTACAAAAAGTGACCTTCGTCTGGATAAGGCCGGAGAGGCCCGAAGTCCGCTGGAGCACAGCCCGATTCAGGCTGATGCCAAGCACCCCTTTTATCCCATCCCAGAGCAGGCCTTACAAACCACACTGCAGGAAGTCAAGCATGAACTCAAAGAGGACATTCAGCTGCTAAGCTGCAGAATGACTGCCCTGGAAAAGCAGGTGGCAGAAATTTTAAAAATACTCTCCGAAAAAAGCGTGCCCCAGACCTCTTCTCCCAAATCCCAAATGCCTCTCCAAGTACCTCCCCAAATACCATGTCAGGATATTTTTAGTGTTTCAAGGCCAGAGTCACCTGAATCTGACAAAGATGAAATCCACTTTTAATATATATATATATATATATATATATACACATATATATTTGTTAATATATTAAAAACAGTATATACATCTATATACATATGTGTGTATATACAGTATATACATATATATATATTTTCACTTGCTTTCCATATGATGAACACAATATGGATTTTGATATGTAAATATTGCATGTCCAGCTGGATTCTGGCCTGCCAAAGAAGATGATTATTTAAAACATAGGTAGTGCTTGTATATTATGCAGTTGACTGCATGCACACTTTACATTTATTTATAATCTCTATTCTAATACAAAAAAAGTATGATTTTTGTTAACCAAGGCAATGTAATATTTGAAGAATCAGGGTCCAACCTGCCAATGTTGCCATGACAAATTTGATCTCAGGCTGAGTATATTGAACTGTCATTTTCTCACTGTTCTGTTAAGTTAAAATTATAGATTAATGCCAAGGGAGAGTTCAACCTTTTAGACTGTTGGTACCATTTTATAATCTCTTTTCATAGGATATTTTTCTGTAACTTAGTGTTAGGTTATTTTCCCCAATAGGCAGTGTTTGCTCCATCTGAATGACTGTTTTGTTGCCTAAATCAGATAGCAGTGTGGGATATTGAGAACGTATTGCTATGAGTTTTGTGCATGAATTGCATTTTCGCTCAACTATACCTCTCCTTTTTTAACACTGTACGTAGATAGTAATCATTAACTCTTATGTAAGGAAATCCCTACTCCCCCCGTCTTGGAGAATAGCTGCCATCTTATAAGCTGATTTTATCAACCCCATAAATATGAACCTATTAATATAGTATATATTATTATAGAAAAACTGCACCACAGGGTAAAAGGGCCTTTTAGCAATTCACGTTAGTGATGCTGGTTTTCCAAATGTGATGAATGTTCTCAATTTGTGTTTCTAAAACTTGTTCAAAGGTGAGGTTGAAAGGCTCTTGGCAAAGAAACAAACAAAACACATTTAAGTAATCATATCAAAATTTTAACTATAATGATCTAAATAAAAAAGAATGTAAACAGATAGACAAGTTTTTGTAGCATATCTGTAACTTAGGGTGAAACACAGGTACAGAATTGTTCACACGTGTTTCCTAACAATGTTTATAGGGATAACACATGAAACATGGTTAGAAAAAATCTAAGAAGTTGATGTTAAGTTGCTCAGTTCAGATAACTGCTTTTCTATAATTTTATCCTGGTTACAATTTTCTAAAGCTTTTTTTGCACACAGTGCTACTGCAGGACTTCTGCTGAGTTGATACAATAGACTACTGTGGCTCAGGCAGATCCATTTTTGAAAGGGGGGTACTAGAGACTGAATTTCAGAGTCTTTGAGTCATAAATCCTCCTCTTAGAAAGTGCCTATTATCAACTAAAAAAAAGTCACAAAGAGTTGTGTATAGCCAGTCCCTTAAATGGTATGTATTGAGAATAAAATACATGTTCATTTGTAAGAACCCAGAAAAATTTATTTCTTTTGACCAAAGTGTATTTTGTGAAGTTGATCAAAGAGGCATACTTTTAAACTGGTGCATGCATGACATTTAATTGTGGAAACAGGGAAGTTATTGTTTGCATCAAATTGAAAATATATTCCAGTAATTTGTACCTTATCGGAGCATCTGTACATATATGTTAACAACATACACAAGATGATAGCAAAATCAAAGGAGCTATTTTGGCCTATTGTTGCCATTTTTATGAGCTTTTCTAACTATCTCCCAGCATCCCCAAACAAAACCACCAGAACTGAAAGACAAGTTAGTTATCGCAATCAGACTGGAGAGGTGCAGAACAAAGTAATTTATAAAAACAACTGATATTTTAGAATTTCTATTAGAGCTTCTTCACATGCCCACAAAATGTGCCTCTTTAATCCAGGAGTCTCACAACAGATGTTAATGTGCCATGGGTTCCATTTCCCCTTCTTTGTGTGCACAACTTCCATTACTCAGCAGGGAAGTTTCCAGGGGAGCATGTCTCCATGCTATGCTACAACATCTACCTACCACAGGCACAAGAAAATGAGGTACTCACAGTATAAGGAATCAGCCTTGAAATGGAGATTTAAGTTGCTTTCATGGTGAGGATGGTACTTTTTTCTTGACCTCTGACATTTATTGAATTTCAGGGTATTTTTCTATTTAAACCATGTATGAGACAAGCTTGGTTAAGCTTTTAAAGGTGAATGAATAGTAAAGACAATCTGCATACAGAAATGGTCAGTCTAACTTTAGCCACATGCTTCAAAAAAAATAACCATTGGTGTAAAGCTATATCAGAATGACTAAAACAGCAGGGCAATTTGATGTTGCAATCCACGCCTTTGCTTATTAGTGGTGCAAATATTCGCTGTGTTCTGCCATTAACTCAACTGACCTACAATATTATTGTTCATATACATGGGCAAGAAACATGGTTTTGAACTCCTCCAGGTTGTCACCAAGGGGGAAAAAGTATCAATTGCTTGTTTATGGTGCAGTTATCACAGTATTCTTTTCCAGTCACCTGTGTTCCTATGTGCATGACACGACGAGGTGCTGAATGCACTCTGCTTTTTCAGCAGAATTGCATGTGTTCAGCAAACATTGTATATAGTCTTTTAGGTTCCCAGATTCTGCAATTCTTACCAGTTGAACTTACTCAGATTTGAATGAAGGGTGAACACTTGCTTTAATATGTGCAATAATGATAGAGTCCTGTTCTGTGTTGCCTCAGCCAGCACATGGACAGTAGATTCTCTTTTGGGGGGACCAGACGACTGCATGTTTTATTCTTACACTGTATAGATGCTTTCGGTGCATCCAGAATAAAATTTTTATTATTATATTTCTGAACAATGTACTAGTAGGAGTAAATAGATATGTATTTACAATCCAAACATTTTCCAAAGCAACTTACATACCTTCAATATTTTTCTATGATAATATAGAAGATCAGATGCTGTACCCTGGACAGGTGGTTGTAATGTAATAGCAAAAGTCAAACAAAAATGGAAATGTGAGCTGTGCATCATAACGACAAATTTTGCCAGTCTGTATTAGGATCTTATTGCATTAAATATGATCTAGTAGATGGAAGAGCTTATGATAAAGAGAACACAGGCACACAAATGGCAGATGACAATACCAAAGCTACTAGTGTCCCACAATGACATAAATAGTACTTAGAATGGTTTGGGCATAGATGTTGAATAGAGACATATACATCATTGTTAAAATGGAAAATTTTTATTATGACACCAGTTTCATCTCACATTAAGTACAGAAGTAAAATTGTCCTAAGTACTCAGTTAAAAAAATGTATGTAGATCAGAGCAAGAGAATTAGAAAATTTGGGGTTTTAAATTGCTTTTAAGAACAGGCATATACTCCTGGAGTTCCCAGCATGTTAGCAAGAATATTAATTATGACCACTAACAAAAATGCCATTTTGAAAATTAATCCTATTGGAACCCAAATGCAAACCACAGCTTCCTTTAAATTTAAGGAGATTTTGTTCTCCTAAGATCTGGCCCATTTGCTGTTCTATTTTAAATTACTAAATTCTTTTAGAAAACTTAAAAAAAATTAATCTTCAGAGCAGTGACTGTTTTTAAAGTGTGCAGTGGCTGGTACTGGTGAAATTATGTGTCATATTCTTAATGAATTCTACTATCTTGTATAATTTTTATCTTTTAAGCTATTTTATGTCTCTCTTCCAAAATTTTATGTAGGTAATGAGAAAATTTATCTAGAATGTACATATCATACATGGAAAACTTTAAAATATGAATATTTTGTAATTATGTGAATGTTGTGTTTTAATATTTTGTTACATATAAGAATATTTCTCTTGTGGTCTTGATGGAAAGGGAGAGAAGAAAGAACAATTTTTTTGGAAAACATCCTAGGATTAGTATCTGAGCTCTGTCTTGGATTCTGAATCTAGCTTTGCCACAATTACAGTGTAACTTTGGGCAAATTAACTGTTCTTTGGTGTGTCTGGGCTTCAATTCCCCACCAATAAATAATAAAATGAAGATAAGAACTGCTCCATTCTTATATCAAGATGATATTAGGTCAGTGGGAAATCATCTTCCTCTCAAATGAAAATCACATGAAGATAAATTATTAATTTTTTCTTTCTTTCATAGAAGATCAGCTGAGATATACTCTTTAAATATTTTCCTAGGGTTTAGAGATTTCTCTGGTCAGAGGTTGGTGGGGAAAGGCATTGATGGCTAAAAACTTATTAGTCATTGGCATGTGAGCAAAAGACAGTTGTCTGGGAATTTAGAACTACTAATTAAATAAACATGGAAAGAGTGAAGGTCTTTGGAGAGAAGAGAGAAAGAAGAGAGAAAGACGTAAATATTATGAGTTTTGCTTATTCTATTTAATCATACTGCTCAGCAGAAATTCTCAATCTTGTGAGAAAAAGTAAAAAAAAAAATTGTTGAGTATTCATGATACAGAGCAGTTCATCTTTCAAACTCTTGTATAAAAATAATCATGACTTACTCAAGATACATGGCTCCACATGGGCAGATGTTCTTATAACAAAATTCTTAATTGTGAAAGAATCTTTTCCAATAACCAATCAATTTTTCAAAGTATATCTTGAACTAGAAAAAAAAAGGTAAAAAAGAAAAACCATTTGAATTACCTTAAAAAACCACTGATGTTATTGTGTCCTAACTTAGAGTATTCTAATTTAAAAAGTTTTAATATGTGATTAGTAATATTGATAACTCTAGGAAGCCCCTGATAACATGTAAACATTTTATTTTTTGAAAATGAGATTCATTTTGTTAACATTTGTTCAGTCTGCAAAGACAGTCTTGTATCCTAAAGAATACACTCAAACCTGCAGTCAGTACATATGTGGTGATCCTTTGTATAAAGGAAATAACAAGAGCACCTAGAAACAAGGGGGCAAATCTTACACACTATAAGAGACATTTCGATCTCTTACTAATCTTTCTGTTGTATCAGAATTTTAAAACTATTATTACAAATTAGGAATTAGGCATCATTTTGAAACAGACACAAGTTCTCAAGTTAAAGAAGGATTAGTTATAAATGCCTGGTATATTTAAGGAATATTAAGGGAGATTTAAGGGGATCGTTCATCACTGACCATGACTTTTTACTATCCATTCTAACACTTTTGATTTATTTGCTAAATAGTTAAAAACATTTATATTTGTATCCACTGTGATAGGCCCATGGCATTCCAAATCACAGTTGCATTACATATGTATTTCACACATATGTAAATAAATATTTTCAATCAACTTGCTCTCAGTGTAAACTTTGTACTTACAGCCTACATGTTGTTACCACTCAGATAACAAAAACTCTTACAACTATGGAATGACATATATCATTTTTTTAGAGGGTTGATACAGATCAAATTGACACTATAGGAAATGTTCTTATCTTGGTCCAGGGAAATAAACCAAGAGGTGATGTGTGTGGGGCTACACAGAACAAAAACGAGAGTCAGGTTTTAAATAGGTTAGTAGTGCCAGGCTACGTGAGCTCACAAAAGTCCAAGACAGAATTTCCATTTCCATCTTTGGAACAAATCTACAAAGAGGAGCATGATGGTGGTCACAATTTAGATCTAAGCATGTCATTGGTAATGCTTATGCGTGCATCAGGTCGAGGCTGGTGAGCTTATATAAGATTTTTTCTATTGTCTTAGCTTTACTGGTGTACATTGCTTTATAAACATGACTTTTATTGACTGCTCTGTATAAGTACGTGCAGCCTTCTCCATGAGAAGGATTGACTAAGTCTGGATCTGCCGTTAGTCGTCAAAAAAAAAAAAAAAAAAATGTGGAGGGACCACAAAAATAGGGTTATTTGAACAGAAACAAAACCATAACATCCACGTTTCTATAGTTATAGCTTATTTTTCTCACTGGCACATCACCAGACAAAACAAAAGGACAAACATGGATGCATTT